TCAAATTTTTTCATAGCCATTGTCAGCTTGTTGTCCTTTTCTTGCTCGTCTCCTTCTCCCAAACTCATTAGTACATTCCACACTTCCATAGCATTCTTGCATTTTCGGACTCTGGGAAACAGGGAATCATCCAGAGAGTTGTAGAGAATATTTCTTGCTACATTGTCCAGATTCACTCTTGTTCTTTCTTCTGAGGAGTACTGGTCTTTTGGCTTTATTATCATTTGTGGAGCTCCTGTTCCCTGTGCGGCTGCTTGAGCATTTGCCATCATGATTGTGATTGGTCCGCTTGTTATGACGTCCCACATTTCATCATGAATGGAGCATAGGAGAGCCTGCATTCTTAACTTCCAGTCATCAAATTTAGCAAGACTAAATGCAAGTTGTTTGGAGCGATGAGCATGTTCCTTTTCCATTTTTTTAAAAAAACGTGCAAAGAAAATATGCAAGATTTTCAAGAGATTTTTGAATAGAGATCTACCAGGCAATAAATGCAAAGCCTTTACCGATCAAGGTATAGGCTCTGATACCACTTGTTGGTCCTGATAGAATGAGATGAGAGTCTAGAGGGGGGGTGAATAGACTCTTTTCGTTATAAGCCCTAAACGTCACCTTTCGGTGTCTTGGCACAGCGGATAAGATAGATTTGTTTTAGATACTTTGCACGAGTTTGTGTAATTAGACAAACTTTCGGTAATGATAATAAAGGAATGATAAGAATGCAAAAAGAAAAGCGTAAGTAAAGAGTTAGAGGAGACACGAGATTTTATAGTGGTTCAGCCAATGTTGCCTACTCCACTCTTCTTCCACAACTGTTGGAAGGATTTCACTATCACTCTTAGTACAAGTACACAAAGACTTCCTTGATCACTAAGTCGGACAGCCTTCGTAGGCTTTTCAATTCCTCGAGTTTACTCCGCCTCTATCAACTTCTTCTCCTGAGTTGAGGTTGGTAGAAAATGATTTCTTGTATTCTCCAACGATGAGGTCTTGACTCTGAGATATGATTGCTTCAACTGATATCAAGACTTCCTTGAGGTGTAGGACAAATGATTCTTCAAGTAACTTAGCACCTCAAAACTGGTTCACAAAAGCTTTTAGTGAATTGTAGACTTTTCAAGAGCTTTTGTAAGAGAGTAAGTCGAGTGATAATGAACCAGCACCTTCTTAGCTGATGAAGGTGTGTTTTTATAGGTGATGAAAATTCATCCGTTGGAGGGAGATGAAATTTTCAAACCCTTTAACCATTGGACAAGGACCGGGGAGCTTCATGCATTAAATGCTCCATTAATGAGGTTGTACCATGTAGCCGTTGAAGGTATGGAAAGCATTAGGTTTTGTCTTTTAGCTCCAGGAGATGGTACATCTTCATTTAATTCCTTTGAAAAGTGTGTCCCATAAGATGAAGTCCTTATTGTCCTAGGATGTTGTCAAATCAGACAGGTGAAACATTCTTCTCGTTGATGAAGAGAAGTAATGCTTGGTAAAGATCGTCTTTAACAAAAACTGTCCTTTCGTGCTTGTTGACAACTCCTGCTTGAATTTCGTTGATCTTCATGTCTCGTGTCTTCTTTCGCCTTGGAGATCCTAACATCTAGTCATAACTCATTTTCGTGTGTTTGTCTAGCTTAACACGAATTACAGAAGAGTTATGGCAACTCTCGTCTAGGACAAAAGCAGCGATTAAAAAGAACTAAAGGTTAGGGGTCTACTTTTCTACATTACATTGGTATCATCAAAATCCTAATACAATGTTCCTAACAGTATACATATGTCCTCAATTAGTTTCTGAATTGTTTATTTAGTGGTTATTTTAGTTTCTCACCTCAAGTTTATGTTAAAATTAACAATTATATAATGAATCGTAAATTTACAAATTTATTATTAGCTACCCTCAAAACACAAAAAAAATACGTTTTGAACTAATAATCATTTCTTGTATGTAATATATATTACTTTTCTTCTTTGCTTCAGTGTAAATTCATGTCAATAATTCTTAATGAAATAAAATAATTCTATAGCTAAATTTTTATAAAACGATTAAAGGAAGCTAAGAAAATACCAGTAATAAAGTGAAGAAAAAAAATAAAGAAGGGCTAATTTCATTGTTGGCCCTAGATTTATAGGTGACAATCCACGTACTTTAAGTTTTTTTTTTTTTTTCTTAATTAGAACATCCACTTTTGGTCCTAGTATTATTGTGGCATAATCATTTTTTGTCCTTTATCGACAAAACAGTTTAAATATTGTGAAATACAAAGGCATTTCGATCTTCAATTATAGAATTTTTTTTCAACAAAATAAACAAAAAAAAAATATAACGGTTCAACCTACGTTGTATAATGAAGATTGAAATGTCTTTATATTTAACAACATTTAATTTCAACGATTTTGTTAAAGGATAACTAAAAATGGTCATGACACAATAATAGTAGGACTAAATTGGGATGTTTTAATAAAAAAAATTACTACAAGTGGACTGCCACCTATAAATCTATGACAAACAATGGAATTATCTTTCAAAGTAAGGGGGGCTCCTTGTGCGCAGTGAGCACCGGTCTAGCCTCTGTGGTTCATGTTCAGTTGAGTAACCATGATTTACATCCTCCCAAATGCTCTGTCGGGCCGGGGTGTGGGGTGCGCATAGGGTTGGGGTTCAGCCTTTTGGAAGAATGACAAAGAATGGAATTAACTCAACTTTTTAAGTCAAAATAATACATATGCATTTCATTAATTTAGAATTATGTGTCTACAATGTCTTTATTCAAAAAAAAAAAAATTATTCATTATCAATACATTAAATAAGAGAATTAATTTCATTAGTTATATTGTCTTTATTTTTCTCCAATATAAAAATTCTTTACATTCAAATTCATCAATTTTAATTATATTCGCTACATTGTCCCTACAATGTCTTTGTTAAAAAATAATTATTCATTATTATCAATAAATTAATTAAGAGAAATAATTGTATTAATTATATTGTCTTTATTTGTATCCAATGTAAAAATTCTTTAAATTCAAATTCATCAATTGATTGTATTCACTACATTGTCTATTATCTTTTTTTTGTACAATATTTTTTTAATTAAATATCAAAGTTAAAATATAAAATAATGATATATATTTATTTAACAAGTATTTTATTAATACCAAGGACTTCTTTTATCTAGGATGATTGCCCAACTGTGAGACATAGACAACATTCTATTTGTTTGTGCATTGAATGTGTCTATTCAAGTCTAACTTAGACTTAATGTTCTTGAGGAAGTTACACGAAAGATTTCCTTTATCTTTCGTTGTTGTTGCTAATCAAAAAACAAATTCCCTATCATTCGAAGTTTACACGAGAGCTAGACCCTTCTATCTTTCGGTCTGTGTTGTTCTCTCAGTCTTCTCTTCTTCTTCACTTCTTTTCGTTGACCTAAACTAACGGTCACAACTCAGATTCGTGTATGTATGCTACTTAGCCGAATCACATGGTGAGTTGCTAAATCTTTCGTCGAACACGAAAGATCAAATATAGCGAAAATAAAAGAGGTGTCTATGATCCTAGTAATATTGGTATCATCAAAATCCAAATACACTAGTTCCTAACAGTTTCATCACCGAAACCCAAATAAACAGTTGTTCTAGTTGAATATCCGTTGTTAGACTCAGATGCACTAACATGACGAGTTCAGCAAGTATTTAATAGTGATCTTTTAAAATTTAGAGACATAATTGTCTTCTAATATAAAGTTGAAGTGTCTAGTTGACTATTTCCCGTGGATTTTAAATTTAGAAAGAAGAATAGGCTATGAAGTAGTCATGTGTGGCACACAATAAGCAAACCTTTTGGAGAAAAATTATCATTACCTTCATTGCAAAGTTATGAATTGCTTCACGAAACTAACAATTCTTTTTGAGATATATTTTATAATTGAAATTTTTATATTTAATAAAGAGTAAATACTAGTCAAGGGTCCTCGAGTTTTGTGGTTTCGCCATTAATAGTCCTAAACTTTTGTTTTGAGCATCCGTCATCCTCCGAATTTCAAAAATGACCTCCGCTAGTCCTTTCGTTAAGTTTCTCCGTCTCAACCGTGAAATCTTAAGGGCACAATAGTCTTTTGTTTTTATATTTGTGATTTTTTTTTTGATAGGGAATATTTCTGATTTTTTTTGAAAGGGAATATTTGTGATTTTTTTTTCTAAACGTTAGTAAAAAAAACACTATAAAAGAACCTCCACATTTTCTTCTTCTTCTTCTTCAATTCTTCTTCACACCATCTATCTATCACACCTTTAATTTGCTTTGCAAAGCTTAGCTTAGCTTAAACCTCTAATCTAAACTAATCTACTTGACAAAGCTTGTCCATATCCTCCTCATTGTTTTTCTTTACAACCTCCGTAACCGAAAACCAATACCTCAACCAGCCATGCCATCCCCTTTCCCACCCACCAGCATTTCAACGTTAAAGAATCCGTTTCTCAGGCCATCAAACTCCATCCCTTGCTAAAATCCCAGGAGGAATTCATCAATGAAAGCCGCCATAAAGGGTAGGAGGGTAGTTGGAAGCTCAAGCTCCTGCACAGAGATAAATTGCCCTTTCCCCATTTTACCGACTTCCGCCGCCGATTCGGATCCCGGATGAAAAGGGACGCACACAGAGTCGCCGCCCTCATTCACAGAACTCGCGGCGGCGGCAGTGGGAAAGCCGCCGAGTATGAGGTGGAGGAGTTCGGGCGGATGTGGTTTCCGGTATGGATCAAGGGAGTGGAGAATACTTAGTGAGGATTGGGGTCGGGAGTCCGGCAAAAAATCAATATATGGTGATTGACTCCGGGAGTGATATTGTGTGGGTTCAGTGTCAACCCTGTAACCAATGCAAACATCAATATGACCCGGTGTTTGACCCGTCTTTCTCAATATGTTAACAAATATTGGGGCCAAAACCCACGAACCACTTGAGCTGTCAATAGAAATCTAGATGCCTTCTTGCTGGATGTTCCCTAAGATGGATAGTCTGGTTGGGGATGGAGCAAATGCAAAGCAAAATGTGCCCCTTTCATCAACTGGTATTAAAACGTTCCTAGCTGGAATGGTCAGGATCAGGCCACCCATTAGTAAAAATGATACGGTTGGTACCAAAACCGTAACGAACCCGTGTCTGTAGTACCAAAACCGTAACGTACGCCACTTGAGGTATAGAATGGGAGCCTTTATATCTATAAATATTAGATTTTTTTTTAAACATAAATAATAGAACTTGAGAAGTAGTTTTTGTATTCTTCGGTTAGTTGTGTAATTGATTAACTCATTTTGAACCTTAACACCTTAGGTTAGGAGTAGTAGTCCTATGGACGTGATGAAGTGGTACTGATCTCTTACAGTACACATACACTTATATTCTATGCTGATCTGGACTGTGACTTGATTGTGTTTATGTTATTTGAAGAGATCTTCCTTTTAATTGTTTCTGGGCTTCTGTAATTTCAGATTGGGTTTGAGCTTTTGTCTTTTGAATTTTGTATCTTGGGGTTTGTCTTAATTCTACTACTTGTGTGTCTCAGACGGTGGCATACGCGGCGTTGCACGAGGCATTTATGACGCAAACTGCCAGCCTTCCTCGGGCACCCAGCATCTCAATATTGGACACATGCTAGGACTTAAACTGGTTTGTTACAGTTCTGGCCAACCGTATCATTTCTCCTGATGAGTGGCCCAATCCTGACCATTCCAGCTACGAACATTTTTATACAAGTTGATGAAAGGGGCACGTTTCGCTTTGCATTTGCTCCATCCCCAACCGGACTATCCATCATAGGGAACATCGAGCAAGAAGGCCTCCAGATTTCCATTGACGGCTCAAATGGTTTTGTGCATTTTGGCCGCAATATTTGTTAAACTATTGAGAGAGACGGGTCGAACACCGGGTCATATTGATGGTAGCATTAGTTACAAGGTTGAAACTGAACCCACACAATATCACTCCCATAGTCAATCACCATATACTGATTTTTCGCCGGACTCCCGACTCCAATCCTCACAAAGTATTCTCCACTCCCTTGATCCATACAGGAAACCACCTCCGCCCCGAACTCCTCCACCTCATACTCGGCGGTTTTCCCACTGTCGCCGCTGCGAGTTCTGCGAATGAGGGCGGCCACTCTGTGTGCTTCCCTTTTCATTCGGGATCCGAATTGGTGGCTGAAGTCGGTAATATGGGAAAAGGGCAATTTATCTCTGTGCAGGAGCTTGAGCTTCCAACTACCCTCCTTCCCCTTATGGCGGCTTTCATCGATGAATTCCTCCTAGGTTTTTGGCAAGGGATGGAGTTTGATGGCCTGAGAAACGGATTCTTTAACGTTGAAATGCTGGTGGGTGGGAAAGGGGATGGCGTGGCCGGCTGAGGTATTGGTTTTGGTTTCAGAGGTTGTGAAGAAAAACAGTGAGAGGGGGATATGGACAAGCATTGTCAAGTAGATTAGTTTAGATTAGAGGTTTAAGCTAAGCTAAGCTAAGATTTGCAAAGCAAATCAAAGGTGTGATAGATGGTAATGAATAAATGTATTTGCTTTCAATGGAATCAGTTAGTTGTAATCTCTTAATTTTTAATGATTTTCGTGTTTTCAGATTTGTAATTTGTTTAATTTTAGTGATTTCAATGTCTTCAAATTTGTATTTGGGTTAATTTTTATGATTTCAATTACTTCGAATTTGTAAGGTTCATTTGAGGTTTAGTTTTACAATTCAAATCATGGTATAATATGCACTCGGTTATATACCATACATAATACGAATAATTTCTTAAATTATTTTTTCAAAATAAATTCATTAAAATTAACGTGTCTAAAAATTATGTTGATATACATCCATTTTTTTTTAAAAGATTGATATACGTAAATTAAGCCAATTTCATTTACCGTGGCTTGAATCCTTGTAAAGGATGATAATCAAGTGGTTTGGACACCGTTAGATACTAACGTACAAATAGCCAATAATCACGAAGATTGTACTTCTCATGGAGAATACATTCAGATTATTGGTAGTTTAATTGTATCAAATGGGTTGTACTAGGCCAGATATTGCCTTTGCGGTTAACCAACTCGGGTAGACATACGAGTAACCCTAGCGTTACGCACTAGAAGGCAATAGTGAGAGTTATGAGATACTTAAGGTATGCTCGTGACTTTGGACTGCACCAAGTGTGGATATCTAGCTGTACTTGGAAAGTATAGCACGTTAACGGGATATTAAAGGATGCTAAATCCATTAAAGGATACGTGTTTACGTAGGCCAGTGCAGTTGGTTGTATGGAAATTTGCCAAAACAATTTGTGATAGCTATGATCCATGACGGGATCTAAGCTGAGAGCCTTAGACCCGTGTCGCGAGCGAGTAGGCCAAATGGCTATGCCATTTGTTCGGGAATGTTCCTAGAGGTAAACTCGTACTTCCAATTTGTGTGTGCTGCGATAGTCAAAGTCAAAATTGGTTAAGTACAGAGTTAGATGTAGAATGGTAAGTCTAGACTTATAAGTCATAGACATAATATCATTAAACAATTTCTCACAACATGCGTTATCTCTATTGACTAAGTGATGTCAAAAGATAAAGTAGCGGCCTCTTACTCGCTAACCCGAGGGTACGCAAATGTTATGGAGAAGTGGAACGAGTGATGGGTCTAAAGCCCTTGGACTAAAAGTTCTATAATGAATTTTGATGTTGGATTATTATTACTAGTTTTTTACGCGCATTGCGCGATTGGGATAATGCCCAATGTTTTTTTTTTTAAATAAGTACTTTAAAGTATATCATGACAATATTATATTGGAATTGTTCATGCATAGATAATTGAGTGTTGAATTTGCGTATTTAAATATGTAATTCTAAGTTTACATATGCAAGATAAATATAATCAAGATTAATTATAATTGTCAATAAAATAATTGTATAGGTATGGTTGAAACCAAATACGGGCATAAGGAGGACAAATAAAAATTAGGGCCACAAAATATTAAATATATACTAATATCAAAGAACTAACTGCTGATTGCCAAATAAGAACATTGCGAGGTAGTTTCCCACTTCAATTTGTTGTGTGATTTTAACACTCTTTTTGTCAATAAACCCCCAAGTAGTTAATATTATTGGCTTAATTATATATTTTGTATTTTTTTATTTTTAAAAACAATTATTATTATTATTATTATTATTGTTATTATTATTATTATTATTATTATTATTATTAAATATATGTATACCCTTAGGTCATTTTACATGTTAATCTAACTAGCTATTTTTTTCAAATATATTTTTATCAATCATTGATATAATTCACAGGTCAAATCCGCTAAATAATCAACTAACGCTAACCACTACTAACTGCTGATTGTCAAACAAGGATGTTGCGAGATAGTAGTCACTTCAATTTGTTGTGTGATTTGAATACTCTCTTTGTCAACAAATCACTCAAGTAGTTAATATGATTGACTTTATTAATTTTTTTTTTTTAATTTTTTCATGGTATTAATAAAATACTAGGTAAATAAATATATAGCATTATTTTTATTATAAATTTGATATTTAATTTAAAAAAATATAGAAAAAAGATAATAGACAATGTAGTGAATATAATCAATTGATCAATTTGAATGTAAAGAATTTTTACATTGGAGAAAAATAAAGACAATATAACTAATAAATTTATTTCTCTTAATTAATTTATTGATAAAGAATATTTTTTTTAATAAAGACATTGTAGGGACAATGTAGCGAATATAATCAATTCATGAATTTGAATGTAAGAATTTTTATATTGGAGAAAAATAAAGACAGTATAACTAATGAAATTATTTCTCTTATTTAATTTATTGATAATGAATAATTTTTGTTTTGTATAAAGACATTGTAGAAACATAATTCTAAATTAAATAAATGTAAATGTATTATTTTTTGTTGTAGCTACTAAATTATTATTTACTTTAATAAGTGGAAAATAGAGATTATGCCAACTTTGATTGGGATGGGGTTCGAAACTAAGACCTTTCTCATTGAAATCAAATAATTCTAAATTAAAGAAAAGCATATGTATTGTTTTTTGTTTTAGCTACTAAATAATTATTTAATTTAATATGAGTAAATATAGTAGTAATTATGCCAACTTGATTGGGATGGGTTCGAACCTAAAACCTTTCTTATTGAAATCAATGAGTAAGTTAACGGTGAACTAACATAAGTTAACTAAAAAATTAACTGATAATCATATTCATTAAGGATAAATTAGGAAATCTTATGAAAAAATTAAAATCTGATCAATCTGAGCCATTCATTTGATTAAAAAGTTTGACCGTCATTGTTTCTACCCATTATAGGCCTTCTCTCTTGGACTCTTATTAGTATAGTATTATTATTATTATTATTATTATTATTATTATTATTATATTATTATTATTATATTATTATTTTTAATTTTAAAAGTAAACTGTAGAAGATACCATACAATGTAAGAGCTATATAGTATGAATTTAAGTTCCAATAATCATAGACGACAAAGAATATGTTGTTTTGTGGAGAGAAAGTTCGAGCCACGTGACCATGTTGTCCTAACTCTTCTCTTTTCAATCTCCTCTGTCTTCAATTCTCTTAATTTTTGCAGAATGTTTTCAACATATTCCATTCAGTTGCATCAACACAACCTACCTAGCATTCTAAATTCTTTCCAAATTCCCTTCCTCAGAATATTAATCTAAGGCATCATCCACCCCAAATATCTTATCACCATCCCATCAAGGAATTGGAACTTTGTGTAAAGTAAATATATATTGCACTCTTCATTTGTTGTTCATATTCGTTCTAATCAAACTTTTTAAATAACAGCAAGTAGTACGTCGAATTTAAATATAAAAATTTCCACCCAGATCACCTCAAAGTGCAAGTCGAGTTGGGTGTGAATTGTGAGGTGTACATGCATTAACCAACACACATTTTGTGGATTAATATTTATTTTTATAAGGTATTTGTAGTAAAAATTAACTAAAATGACATTTAAAGTGATCATTTTGAGGTATAATTTTAAGTAGGTCTACTTCTTATTTGAATTAGGTCAAATTAGATTCGGGTTCTCCTAGTGGAGATGATGAATTGATATATTATTAATTTATTAAGTCACCACAAGATGAAATAATGGATGAAATCTCTCTCTT